CGGGGCGCGGGGGAGGCCGGAGCGTGGCCTCCCCGCGCCCTCCGGCCCGCACCGCTCTCGGGAACGGGCGGGGCGCGGCTCTTTTGATTTCTGTGCGGACGCGGGAGAGAGTGAGCCGGCGAAGGGGTGAGTGCGATGGATTTGCTGTTCGGAGGGGGAGGGCAGGGAGCAGCGGGGGTGGGTCGTGAGGTGAGCGGAGGCCACAGTTTCAGAGGCAAGGGTGGGTGAATGCCCATCTTGCCCGAGGGCGGCCACCTAGAGTTGATCTTGCGCGTCTCCCGGATCCTCGTCCTCCTCCCGGCCGGGTGAGGGACTGGGCAGGAACTCCAGGAGGGGGCAGGATCCGCCATCCGTCTCAAGACGAATCTGGTTAATGGGATTTGTTGTGTTTTTATCTCTGTGTCTGTGTGCTGCTGTATGCGCGCGTGGACGTCTGTGTGGCCCTGTACATCGTGGCGCCCCATCCAGTGTCCCCGGAGCTGAGGGATCGAAAGGAGGATGCGAAAGGGATGGAGGACGAAGGCCAGACCAAGATCAAGCAGAGGCGAAGTCGGACCAATTTCACCCTGGAACAACTCAACGAGCTGGAAAGGCTTTTTGATGAAACCCACTACCCGGACGCCTTCATGCGCGAGGAGCTGAGCCAGCGGCTGGGGCTGTCGGAGGCCCGAGTGCAGGTATCTGACTGTGAGGAGGTCGAGGCAGGGTCCAGGGAGGGAGGAGGGGCACGCCAGGGGTTGGAGAGGCGGCTTTCGGACACGCACTAAAGGTGCAGGTTCCAGGGGCTGGAGTGAGGTGAGAAAGGGAGGGATGTCCCAGATAGAGGTCTTATTTTCCAAAGTAGATCTTAGTCCTAAACCGCACCCCCCCCCCCCCCTCTATTCCAACATATGTTCCAAGCAGAAGAAAGCTGTGCTGGGCTTGCTCCCAGAGTTTCTATAAACCACACCCCCCTCGCCTCATGATGCCTTTAATGTGGTTTAATCCTAATGGGCCTACTTTTATAAGCCTTAAAAAAATCCCACAGAAAACGTTTTATCTTCTGGATGTCTTAAAAGTTACAACGAATATTCTGTTCGCTGGAGTTGGGTTTCCTTGAGGGTCTGCTCTGGGATCTAGGTTTGCCAAGCGGATATGCCAATTAGGTTTATAGATGTACAGACTATAAAGAAAATTAGCAACTGTTAAATGCAGAAATTTACAGTCTGCCGTTAGCAGTTGATCTCAAACTGTGTGCGAAACAGCAGAGAAATAAATGCATTTTGGTCACTCTTTGTTCCCTCACTTAACCAACGCAGCGAACCCGAACCTACAGAAACTTGATTTTAAAACAACCCACAGATCTTAATGTTGGCATTTTCGAAGTTCGAACCCAGTGACTACCATATCTAATGATATTAGGATTGTTTTTTGTTTTGTTGGGTTTTGTTTGTTTGTTTTTTTCTGGTCTGAGGGTGAAGGTAGGCTTTGGGAGCGGTTAATTTGAAAATGTATATGCAAACATGCATACATATCCTAGGTTTATGGAGAACAAATTTAAATGTTTCAGACTGTATTTCGCTCAAATAATAAAATAGGAGAAAATGATGGTCATTATTTGTTTGAACACATGGAGCAGTTTTAGGCCTGAACATCTGCAGCTGTTACAAAGTATCACTGTAACAGATACTCCCTGGGTCTCTGGGCGCAGAGACCACCATCTGCAGCGAACTATGCAATTCTTATGGGGCTTCCTCGCATCTTGTAATAGGATCAGGACAAAAACAGCAGTGGAGTTGAAGGGGAAAAGTAATAATAGGCTGCCTTGGTCATCACAGCATCAACAGCGGAGCCTGCCTTTTTAAGCCTCTCCTGCTTTGCTCTGTGCACTGAGATCTCTAGAGGCTCTGCAACCCCTTAAAGACGTGATGATAATTATTACAGTTATGAGCATTAGTATCTCAGTTCCAACTCTGCTAGGGGAAAAAAGAGGCAAGAAGCCTCAGGCCATGTGAGTTGCACAAAGGATGCCACCCTGGCATGAAATCTACCCTTCTATTACACTAAATGGCAGGGGAATTTTTGAAGATTTACATCGACTATGACACTTGCTTTTAAAAACAAGACAAAGCTCAGAAGCAATATTTTACTTTCATGTGTTTTAAACATTAATTGGTGAATCAGTCAATATGCTATATTATTGGAACATAATGCTGTGTTATCAGAGTAAAAAAGCAAGCTTTCTTTGAATTTTAAAAAGTCTGTCAGATTGCCTCTAAAAGTTGGCAAGGTTATTTAAGAAGGTAATATCTGGGAGAAGATAGTATCCAGGAGTTACTTGATTCATATTCCAACCCCTTTCACACAATATTCTCTTTTTTATTTTTCTTGTAAGAAGTGATCTTATTGCCGATCTTTATTTTTTCATACTTAAAAAATTTTTTTGAGCTATTTTCTGGATGCTTCTCTACTACCCTAACTGTGGGCATGGGCTATTTCTATAGAAGCAAATTAGATTATCATGATAATAGTACAATTATTCTGCTACTGTGTTACACTCTGTTGCACAGAGGAACAGAGAAATTCTAAACTTCTTTGTAGTGAGGCTTTTATGACACTAATTACCTCTTCCCCCAGTCTTATCCCCCTCCCTCAGCCCCGAGGAAAAAAAGAGTCACTATTTGCTTTGGTGTTTGGTTTTTCTTGAAGATGAAGCTAATTAATATTACAGACTATTAATGAGCACATTCGTCTCAGGTCTTACTGGGCAAACATCTAAACCCATTATCACGTTGGTATCAGGTATCAGCAAGAGTTTTAGGCCTTGGGAACTCTGTAATGTAGAAAGATGAAACCAGGACTAATAGCAATTTATCAATAAACTATCTTGCAAAAGTATATGAAATCTATATATTTTTGTCATTACTTTACACTTTTAACTTTGGAAATTGAGATTGTTCTATTAATTCGAAGGTTGCTTACTACATCTCCTAGTTTGTGCCTAAAGCACTACTCTTTTTTTTATCTCCTTTTGTAATTGAAAAAATGTTTGAGTCATAACATCTAGGTTATATATTTTCTCTCCAATTTGTAGGTTTGGTTCCAAAATCGAAGAGCTAAATGTAGAAAACAAGAAAATCAACTCCATAAAGGTATGGTTCTCAGACAAAGAACATTTGGTATTCTAAGTAAAAAGGGAGTGGGGAATATTGCTATTACAAATACAGAAAGATCTTCTCAAAGATAATCATGGTCCTTGCTTTAAAAGCTGCTCTGAAAGCAGTTGATGAGAGTCCTAAAGTTTGGGAGTAAGTTAGATTTATTTTAATTATGGCAGTAGTATAGGAAGATAAGAGATTATTTCCAAAGGGCTTAGTTCTATCTTGGTACCACTTGGAACCCTGAAAAATAATGCTGGAAATATTCATCTCACATGATTGTGTTTTGTTTCCCCCATTCTCTGCAGGCGTCCTCATAGGGGCTGCCAGCCAGTTTGAAGCTTGTAGAGTTGCACCCTATGTCAATGTAGGTGCTTTAAGGATGCCATTTCAGCAGGCAAGTACAGCCCAGTTTCAACCTGTTTTTAACTGTTAAACGACCTGGATGTTTGCTTGAACTGTTGACCATCCCCCTCTCTCTAAGCCCAGTGTTGGTGTCCATGCAATTGGAGAATCAATTTTGAGATAATATAGTGGACCTTCTCCCCTTTAAAAACCTATAGCGTGTCAGGGGGACACAGGCCTGGTCCTTTCTGTCCTCATGGGAAACCCAGAGAAGCCTGAGGGCAGTAACAGATCCTTTAAAAAATGCACTAAAGATTGAGCTTGGGGAGAGGCAGGAAAAGGCTTTTGATTAAGATTTTGTCAGATCCAATACAGAGGTTAGTCCTAAGGTGTTTCTAAGGCAATTCTCTAAATATTTTTCTAGGTAAAGTCACATTAACTGTCTCTGACAGAAGAAAAGGAAATAAATAAAAGTACTCCCTACTCAGGCTTGATTTTTTTAAAGCTGTCTACAAACAAAGCTCCATCTTTAGTAGAGAAGGCAGCCCTGCCTTGGTCTTCCCAGGGATGCCCTGCCTCTGCGATGCCTTTCTGAGCCATAAAGAAACCTTTAAGACTACATCTAAAAGGACAGCCTACAGCAACGATTTAATCCTGGGAACTCCCAGTGCTCTGAACTCCCCACTCTCCAAGCCTAAAGGCTTCATCCTTTCCCAACCAGTTCCTGACCTACCCTCATCCTCAGCCAGGACCCCTGCTTGGTAGGACTGTGAAGTCGTGAATTAGTTCTCAGTTGTCTCTGGGGAGACACATGGGTGCACCAAGGTATTGAGAGTTAGTGTCAGGGCGGTCTTAGCTTTCTTGGCACCACCGGACTCTAGTATCTTGGTGCTAGGCTTTTGAAGCCAGAAAGAATGAGTGGAGAAAGAGAAGGGGGTCTTAAAAGGAGAACCTTACTTTTCAGAAGGTGATCTGTAAGTCTGCAGCATCAGCAGCACCTGGGAGATAGGTAGAAGTTCAGATATTCAGGCCCCAACCTAGACTTTCTGAAAGGGAATCTGCATTTCAACAAGATCCCCAGGTAATCCTTACAGGAGTTACAAGTACCAACAATTGTGCTAATTGTGATGAAGATGCAGTAACATACAAAGTTTTGTGGTTTGCTTGCTGGTACTTAAGTGCTTTAGTAGTGAGGTAAGATGTGCATGACAGCATCAAGAGAGGAGGGTAGCTGGCCCTCACCCCGCTTTGCCAATACCCCATTGTTACTTTGAGGAGGGTGATGTTTTGTAACAATAGCCACGTGGCCCTCTCATGGGCCCAGCTCCCGAAGGGGCGGCCACATTCCTGCAGTGGCAGCGCCCCTGGGCCCAGGGAGATAAGCCGAGCTGAGTGAGTTGCAGAGATTCGGGGGCACTGGAGTATCCCCGTGGCGCCCCAGATTCAGTAACTGACCGAGAAGGTCAGCCACATGCCCCGTTCCCATCCCCGCCCCAGCCTTCCCCTGAGCCACGCTGGACGCCGTTAATGCTCTGTTTCTATTCTGTTGTCACCCTAGGATAGTCATTGCAACGTGACGCCCTTGTCCTTTCAGGTTCAGGCGCAGCTGCAGCTGGACAGCGCCGTGGCGCACGCGCACCACCACCTGCACCCGCACCTGGCTGCG